GGTCTAACAAAAGCCTCTTCATTAATAAAAAGAATACAGGCTAAAATTCATGAAGTGCAACAACAAACATTTACTCAAAGTAACTTTTACTCATATTTTAGTCAAATCAAACCATGTCACCAGCCATCCTGACTTTTCAAGGGTCACCACCTAGAATGAAAAAGACTGAGGGTTTGTTGCACACTTTGCATTTTTCCAACATAATATCAGAAATCCTGATAATAATAATTTATACTTTGGATTGCTAGCCTTTGCTACAAGTCTTCTAGCAATGCCAGTAAGCATCACATAACATCTGTGTAATAATTATCAATCAAAAACATCAGTCCTCCACCTAATTCTACCTTTGTGAAGCTCAAATTGTTCTGTTATTCTCTATTGTATTGTGCTCTAAAGGTGTCTGTTACTGCGTCCAACCCCCTGTACTTTGGTTGTTTTTCAGTAGCTCAAGAATAATAAGAGCTTTTATAATATCTGCTTCTGACCGTCACCTTACAGCAGTAAATGCAGAGTCTTGTTCTGTTGCCCTGTGGCTGTGTCAGTCAAAAGCATCACCTCCGGCCCAGACTGCCTTCCTTGGAAACTCTTGGCCTATTTCTGTTTGTCTTGACTAGGGTTTTTCCAGCCTGAGGTGGCTATTTCGGTCAGATAAATACAATGTTGTCTTGGGAGCGGGGGCTGAGGAGCAAGACACAGATGAGATCACCTCTCAAGGCTCCTGAGCAGCAAAACAACAGGCAGCAAGACAAGACAAGAACTGCCACGAATGGAGACGGAAAATAAAGGCTTGGGAAATTGTTGACATCCCGTCCTGGATTCAGGTTGGCCTGAGGCGAGGAATCGGGAGAGAACCTGTCCCATTGTCTCTCAGAAAGATGGGGAGAGAGATTTGGAAACATTTAAAAATAAATCATTGAAGACATATTTGCGATCATAAGACATTTTTCTTTGTGCAGCTGAAAAGAAGGAAACGTGTTTAATAGCTGCTGAGTATATTTTAAGGCCTTCACCACAGGGCAGACCAGACACGTCTGTATTTTGTTACCAGATTAGTTCTGTTTGTGTGTGGCTGTGAGTCCATGGGAAAATGACGCTCTCCACTTTTTTTTTTCTTGGGAAGGAGAGAGAACACCACAGTAGATTTCTTATTTCATGGAGAGAACATCTGTCTTTCTTGCTGCCTCACTGTCTGTCTGTCTGTCTGTCTGTGTGTGTCTCTGTTTTGACAATGGGAATGACTTGCGCCGCAGTTATCTTCTGATCAGTGGCTACAAGTGAGTGTGTGGTTGTGTGTGGGTGTGTGTTTTGCCCTGTACACTCATGCCTGTGTGTGTGTGAAAGAGAGTTTACTGCCATGTGGTTGTCTGCAGTTCCAGCCAGGTGTGGTGGCTTCGCTGCCAGGTACAACACCTGCATGAGCTCTCAGACAACAACAGCTGAACACAGCATGCAGTGTGTGTGTGTGTGTGTGTGTGTGTGTGATTGTGTGTGTGTGTGTGTGATTGTGTGTGTGTGTGTGTGTTGGTGATTGTGTGTGTGTGTGTGTGTGTGTGTGTGTGTGTGTGTGTGTGTGTGTGTGTGTGGGGTGTGTTGTGTGTGTGTGTGTGTGTGTGTGTGTGTATGTAAGTAAATAAGTACATTTACTCAAGTACAACTTTTAGCCATTTTCGTTGAATGGTATTTCATAATTAGATCCCAATTTCAAACAGAAATATTTTTATATATTTTTAATTTATCGGGCAGTTATACTCTAGTTATATTTCAGATTAAAATTTCAATTGAAGAAAAAAAACATACACCAGGAAGTCACTGCTCCCAACCAAGCTAGGTGTTACCACTTGTTCCTAGTCTTTGTGCTAAACTAAGCTAACTGGGTGTTGGCTGTAGTTTCTAGCAATGTGTGGATCAGCTCTGATGTCATCTGTATCTACTGTATGTATAAATAATCCACCCACCACTCACCTGAACAAATTATTTTCCATGATTTAAAGACTTGCAGCCAATCTCACACTACCATTATTTCTCTGTGGGATATTACCATGGACTGTATCCAAAGATGGACGTATGCTTCATGATGTCACCCACAGGTTTGTGAAGAGCAGTTTCGAAGCTCAGAGTGGGCTGCTGTACTGTCACCATCTTGGCAGTGCTTGACTCCCCTAAGTCCCACCAAATAAGAAATGGTCAAAGAGGTTCATTTTTCAGCCCCAGAGGTTGCTGCATGGATATTACACATGATGATATGGTAACATATAACATCAAATGGCTGTAAAAAGGAAAATGGCAACAGGTATTTCCAAAATAACCTGAAAATAGTCTGACATTAAAATCGTCTAAAAAGTCTCTGCTACTTCCTGGACACAAACAATTTAAAAGCTCATAATGTTTGGCCGCTGGCCAACATAAATTATAAAATATAATGAGTTCAGCAATTTAAATACAGTCTAATTCATGCCTGATGAAAAATGCAGCTTAAAATATGTTCACATAGAATGTAAATCAAATTTACTCATACATTATATATTATTTCATAGCTTATCCGTGCATCACTAGTAGTTTACCACACAGTGGTATCAATCTTCTAATGAGACTAATAATACTAATGATATGATAATAATACTGTGTGTGTGTTTGAGATAGAAACAGAGAGAAGCAAAGATTGCTCTGGTGTAATTCTAGGGTTGGAAAGTGTACAGGGTTACTCCCTGCTATTATCATAGTTTATCAACATTATTATTCTACTTCTTTATTGTGCACAAAGAAAAAAAAACGCAAACATAAGTGTTCACATTTCTAAGGTGTATGTGTGTGTGTGTGTGTGTGTGTGTGTGTGTGTGTGTGTGTGTGTGTGTGTGTATGTGTTTGCATCCTCATGCATCTGGAGCTCCTTAAAGAGTGTGTGGGCGAAGGGAGTTATGCGGTAAAATGAGGTCATCACTGCTGTTGATTTATGTGACACACACTATTACTTACACTCCTGTGACTTCACCAATGTGTCCGCTGACAGCATGAATAATACATGTCCCCACCGAAAGATGACATCCTCCACTTTCTCCTCTCTCTCATCTGCTGTTTTATAAAGTTTACTTCATCATTACTGACCCATGTCAACGTAGTGTGTGTGTGTGTGTTTGTGTTTGTGTTTGTGTGTGTGTGTTTGTGTTTGTGTGTGTATGTGTGTGTGTGTGTGTGTGTGTGTGTGTGTGTGTGTGTGTGTGTGTGTGTGTGTGTGTGCGTGCGGGGTGTGTGTGTGTGTGTGTGTGTGTGTGTGTGTGTGTGTGTGTGTGTGTGTGTGTGTGTGTGTGTGTGTGTGTGTGTGTGTGTGTGTGTGTGTGTGTGTGTCTGTGCTTGTGCGCAGAGTTTGTCCCAGTTTTATTTCCATGTCGGGGCTTCTGGGCTGATTACCTGCCATCTTCAATCCAGTTCAACAAGTTCAGCCTTCATATTGGTAGTTTATGAAATTGCACAACAGGAAGTGGGAACAAGTACGTGCATGTGTACGTGTATGTGTGTGTGTCAAACTCAATGCCACACCCTATTTAAAAAAAAGTGACTGACGTGGTGATAATTTGACTTGCGATACGTTGTGCAACCGTTGTCTGAACACAGGTGTCAAACGGACGTAAAAATTTCCCTTCTGTTTCATTTCAGTCAAGTCATGAGACAAGTATTGATACATGCAGTAACTCCATTTTGTTTTTCAGTGACATGCACTGATTTGCCTGTAGCATTGAGAAAGAGATTAATAGTCATGGATGGGTGGCGGATCACATCCCGGATGTGCTTTTGACAGCCAGGCTCAGACATTTTGCCTCCCAAGAGCCTCAGAGCCAAGCCGCAAGACGACAACTTCCAAAGCGAGGTCACCATGGTCAGCACTGAACAGGCAAGAGCAAGGGGGCAGACTGAAGGAGAGAGGGGGAAGGGGGTTGGAGGTGGGGTATGGATGGGTGGGGGTGATGAGTTAGGGGACGGAGGACAGCAGTTACTGTCAGGATCCATCAGGGAGCCCAGGGGTGACACGGGAGCAGGCGAGAGAAGAGGAATAAAGGGAGGAGAAGGAGGAGGAGGAGGAGAGGTCAGGAGTCGGTCCTTAACTAGTCACCCCTCAGCCCTCGAGTGCACTTGTTTGCTGTCCCACACCCCACATCACTCCCTACCCTTCCCTTCCTCCTCCATCTGCTCTTAGTGCAGATGTGCAACCCTGCAGCTGCTGGATTTCCCAACATGCTCTACTTTACAAGGCCATGCTAGCTGTTACCACTTCAACTACAACTACTACAATCAAAGGCATTGTACATTACTGATGACTATCTTCCAAAACATCATATACATATCAACATGTAGATTGTGAAAAAAACAGCAAATACGCGTATTTTCCAAAACGTGGAACTATTCATTTAGCTGAATATGGAGAGATAAAGAGAGTGGTAGCCTAAATATTGTCCCATCTAAATCTCAGCAAGAGAAGTGAACCTCCCAAGATGTTGAACTGTTCCTTCAAATAAAGACAAAAAAACAAACAAACAAGAAAATAAGGAAGTATAAAACAGGTGTCACTGTGAACATTTAGTGCTCCATTTTTATGAAAATGACATTCTAGTCATGTGACCAGCAGGGACTCTTTGCAAAACTGTCCCTCCCTGTTGGTGGGTTTAAGGAAAGTCCAGCATCTATACTTCATCAGTCTCTTGGTTCACAGCAACTTTAAAGACAAGAAACAGTGTCCCTGTTAATTCACTAGTATTGAATTATCATTTCACTAAATCTGAATTGCTGAACAAATCAGAGATGTGGACAGTGATTCAAACGTCTGGAACAAAGAATCATTTTTAGTGGTGTGAAAATCTTTTTTTTTTTTTTAAACTAAATAAAATATTTTTATATTGTAATGTAACTGAAACCAATGTCTAAATAAAAAAGAAACATTTTGAATAATAATCAAACATAATGTAGGCGATTTGGATTAATTGGCAGGAAAAAAAACATGAGAATGGTTCTTTGATATCAGACTGGCTCTTTATGACACAGGAAATCATCCTTTGGAGTCAATTTTGAGGTAGAAAAATCCTTCCCATCTCTGAAGTTGTCAACCTCACCCTCAGAAATAATAACATCCTCAGGTTGACATAGATAATAACTTCTGACTGTGGCGATGTTTTCAGAGATCCTCCTCCGCTGGCCTCTGCTGAGGGCTGCAGTCCAGACATAAACAGTGGTGTGGCCGGGCAGAGGAAGCTGTGAGGCTGCTGCTGCAGGTGGCGGCTGGTGGACGAACAGACAGCGGGCCGGCATGTCTACCGCTCTGTGACACTCAAGTGTCAACACTCCTCACTTTGTAACACACTGAAAACAGACACGTGTTGGGAATCCAGCATTTATAACTGATCAGAACTTAACTAATCACTCTACAATGAACACAGTGTGTGCACAGGTTTTCAAGCCTTTTCATATCAAAGACTCTTCACCTCCACCCCCAGATCACCTCCTGCCAAAAAAATAAAGATCCGCATTAGACCATGGCCCCCATTTAATTAGATTTTTAAAAATGATCCTTTGGAAGCACATCTGAGAAGATTGTTGCTGTTAAATATAACTTGGTACAGAATTATATAACTGTGAGCTGATGCCAGCAGAGTGAATAACAGAACAGAACAGTCCTTAGATGTACATATTGTACATATGTTTAGAGAGTAAATCACAGTTAAGTTGAATATGAGGAAACTTGATCCCACTTGACTCCTGGACCACTTTGGCAACTGCTGTGGTTAAATATAATTGTCACTGTTTGTATGAAACCAGATAATAATATGTGTAAACACAGACTTGAATTACCACACACTTGTCAAAGTGATTGAGAGTCTTATGTGAAATTAGAAAAAGTGACCAAGAGACAATTAAAGAAATAGTTCAGCATTTTAGGAATTTTTGCTTTCTTGCCAAGAGTTACATGAGAAGATCAACACTACTCTCATATCTGTCTGTTCAGTATGAGACTGGAGCCAGGACTCTCTTAGCTTAGCTTAGCTTAGTTTAGTTTAGTTTAGTTTAGCTTACCTCAGTTTAGCTTAGTATAAGGACTGTAAACAGGGAAACAGCTAGCCTGGCTCTGTCCAAGAGTAACAACATCCACCTACCAGCACTTGCTTATCAATATATTTTTTATCAATAGTTTATCCATACAACGTATCTATACGATGTAATTTGTGTTTTTACTGACATTATTTGCCATGACTCAAAGCAGTGAATTCCTGTTGGGCCTGCTGGTTGTCTGGTGACATTAAGGCCGGCTCGTAACCCCACTCTTGTTTTTTATGCCTCCACGCCGGCGACAGCCAGAGCCAGAGGCATTATGTTTTCAGGGTGGCCTGTCTGTCCGTCTGTACGTACGTACGTCCCACAGCACGTCAAATTTGGCACCAAGATTGACTTGGACTCAAGGACGAACTGATTATATTAAGGTGGTCAAAGGTCAAGGTCAGTGTGACCTCACAAAACACTTCAGCCATTACTCAAGACTTTACACAAGAATTATAATAAAATTTCACACAAATGGTAAATATTTTATATGACTGTGGATAAAACAGGGATGTAACCTGAAACTATTGGTGGAGGCAGACAACCATGAGGTGGTAATTCGAGTTATTCTTCAGGTTTTGTACAGGTTAAACAAACAAGACGTGACGTGTTGGTTTTTTTTTAACATTTGGGCAGAGCAAGGCTGTTTCAACCTGTTTCCAGTCCTTATGCTAAGCTAAGCTAACCATCTGCCTGCTGTAACTTCATATTTAACATAGAGACAAGAAAGTGGTATCTTTCTTCTTAATATAAGTGTATTTTCCAAAATGTTGAACTGTTCCTTTATGTAAAGATGAAAAAGATGATTAGGAAATGTGTTATCTAGCACACTTCACCAGCCTCCAGAAACAAGTCTTTGTGCTGCTATCTATCTTGATAACATCATCTGTCTGACAGACCATTAACAAACAATTGATTCATTCTGGGTCAGACAACACTGATAAACTGCTCTTGTTTAAGCAAAGTTAGTACAATGGACAGCCGAAAAGATACTGTATGTGTGTGAGACACACAGAGAGAGGACCAGTCTGTAACAGACAGGCCTGATAGACACACACACACACACACACACACACAGCCGCAGAGAACCAGACAGACAGGTCCTTATGCACAGTACTTTTTCATAAGGCAGGGTGTGTAAGACAGGGAGTGCCTGAAACACACACATACACACACACACACACACACACACACACACACACACACACACACACACACACACACACACCAGACAAAAACAAATGTGAAAGTACAGGGTTAGAGATGGTACAATAAACACTGACTGGAATCACATGTCTGTTTACTCAGTTGGAAAAGCGCATTAGATCCCAATATTGCATAACATACAAACAAAACCAAGGTTGTAAACAGTGTATGTGAGTGTGTATTTCGCTCAGAAAACAAATCAATACAAATATTGTTGCAGTCATATTAATGATTGATTTTATGTGTCTTTACTGTGTGAGTTTATCTTTAACTACAGCTGTTTTTTTTCATTGTGTTTAACAAGGATGTCTCTTTGTATTTTTCTGTTGTTCTTAAGTTTAAGGACTGCGAATGTTTTGCTATCATTTTGTTGTTCAGTGTCTGTTTTTAATAGTACAATATTCTCACTTTCCCCAACACCCCACGTCATACACATCATGGTTAAAGGTCTCATATAGTATAAAGGTAGATGTCCATGTGTTGTTTGATTACAAAGCAGGTCTAGCTTCTATATTAATACTGTGAAAGTATCAAAGCCTCAGTGAGAAAATGCACACAGCCTGTATTCAGAAACTGAGCCTTAAAACCAGCCGTCAGGACTTCTGGAAATCATATTTTAATGACATATTTTTAAGCTGTCTTTAAGTGTAGCAATGCTCTCTATTATCCATTAGCACTGATTATCTATTTGTCTTTTGTGACACTGACAACCAATTTAACGGGAAACTCTGGTTTCATACATATTTTCATACTTTGGGTCAATGTCTCCATTCGCAATAATAACATTGTACTCACCAAGTCGGTCGATGAGATTTCCGCGACATCACTAAAGAAAGAAACACAAACAGTCAGATGATCAGAAAGGTTATAAACAACCCCCCTCGGGTTAGTCAGACATTTATTTGAAATAACAGAGAACCGGTGGAATTATTACCATAACCGTCCGTCTGTAATCTGCCAGTCAAGTCCAAAGTACGACAACCTTGAGCCACTGTACACACACACACACACACACACACACACAAAGAATTTTCCTGTGCCGTTAAAGGTTATAACTGACATCTCAGCAAAGGCCCCCCGTCAGGGGAGGCAAACCAGGCAAATGCATGGGTCCCCCAGAGTCTAGGATCGCCACTGCATCTCAGGTGTGTTCACTTGGTTGAGAAGATTTGGCCAAACCTTAGGTGTGTTCAAACCTGAATGATTGTCTGACTGTGCATGTTTCTTGCTCCAATGGATTTCATTATAGTGAGGCTGTTGAGTTCCAAGATCAGTTACCTTTGTGAGTCCAGTGTTATCATAACCAGTAAAATATTATGTAATAAGACGTAATAAAAACCTGCCTTCTCCTCTAGTTATTGGGTATTTATGAGCATTCTAAAAATCTATCAAGCTTGATTAATGGGAGGACGAACTGATGCAAGGAAACTGATTGTGATGAAGCAGAAATCTCTCAGCTCAGAAACTGCAGCAGTAGGAGGAAACTTTCACAGCAGATGTTCAGGCCCTGCTAACTAACAGGAATCTGTAGAACTGTGCGCGTCTGTTGTGGCCTTGTGATCTGCATCTCTTTCATAACAAAGTAAACATTTGCAGGTTTCAGATGAGGCAAATTCCAAGAAACTTGTCTGTGAAAGTTTCTCTTCTTCCCACATTTTTTTCTCTGCTCTGTTTCTTCCACATTTTTTCCATTTCAGGAGTATATTTCTTTTCCACAGAGACTCACAAGCTGAAAGTCTACAGTGGCAAATGCATGCAGTCAGCATAATATGTAAAATGTACAAAACACACATGTACACACAAACACACACACACACACACACACACACACACACGCTTGCAAACACAGACACGCACACGCACACACACATACACTTGCAAACACACATTACCATGTGGTTAATGTTGTCATATCATTCTGAAGTAACTGCAGAGCAGATTTGAGTCTTGAATTAGAGAGTTTCAGTAAGCCTGCCTGCTGACCTCAGTACTCCTGGTTCCAGAGAAACAGGGACACATACCCAAACACACACACACACACACACACACAGACACACACACACACACACACACACAGTTCTTTGAAATCCTCCCCCACATTTGTGTTTTCACACTTAATGACAAAAACATGAACTCCATTTCCCGTGAAGCCAATGCAAAGACCTGAATCGGTTGACCTTTGCAAAGACTCTGGGAGAGGAAAAAAAGAGCTCTGGTAGACAACTAGCCTTAAGTAGCCAGACTTTTTCTCTGTTGCTTGATCTTGCCTGATGTGCTGATACTGCTGGCCTTTGATGCTGGTCAAGTGATAATTAGGGGAACTACAGAATTTCTGGGTCAGTGAAACTGGTAATGACTCAGTTAAACAGACAAACATGCACACTAACTCATGGATCCATCCATGAGTGAAAACATTAGAGTGCCACGATGAGACAAGAAAAGACAGAATTTCTTCTTATTCTCTTCTGCACACCATCAATGAATGTTTTTTTTTTTTCTGATCACCGGGGCAACAAACATGATTTCAAAGCTCCTATGCTCCAACTTTTCAACATGAAGCCATATCTATTGTCAAGCTAATTGCATTGTGTGATGGTGCTCACCTACTAATCCCCAGCCTGATGACTGACTGTCAAACAGTGAATGTGCCCGAGTCAGCAGGATGGCATCTTTGACTGTGGCGAGGAGCTAGAGCACTTAAGCCTGCAGCACCTCTCCATATTGTTCTATCTGCCCTACAACAAAACCAGGGCCTCCGCTGCAAAATACAGCCAAGAGCAGCACTGGGCTGCAGACAGACGGGGCAGGTCGGGGGGCTGCTGATGAACAAGTCGCTCAATCACGCACGCATTTCTTTGGTTGGCTTTGTCTGTGCTGAGATATAGTTCAAATAATGACCACCAACAAGGATGTCAGACCGTTTGATGCCATGACGACACTTTCCCCAGAGGTGAGTTAATGTCTGTCCAGACCCCGGAGTGCTGTATTGTTTGTGTTGGACATGTCGTTTCACTGTGCTAAACTGACCTGGTGAAACACTTGATGACTTTTCAAATGTCACAGGACTCTACCCGGTCTAGACAGGAACAAGAGGAGACACTGATCCTCACAGCCTGGAAAAGCATGGTGAGAATCCCAATAACTGTATCCCTTAAAGCTGTCAGTCAGTTTCCATTAAGTACAGTTTATGAATAACATCACCTGTACGTTGCATCGTACGGTGAAATGCTCTTTCTAAATCGTTAGGGAATAAACAGAATCAAACGCTGTAGAGGAGTGGTTGCATTGATGAAACAATATCTGATAGTTTCTGTGATAGTGTGCTGCCTTTGTCATAAATGTGTTTGCGTAGTCTGAATATATATGTAACGCTTTACTTTGAATTTTGTCTTTACTCTACTTTTGAACCCTTTACACACAGCTATGCATTAAATTTCCCACTTTGAGATAAGTGCGGATTTTTCCGGTGACTTTTTGTGCACACCCTTTTTTCTTCCCAATCTGATGTGATATGACCTGTTGTGTTCTGAGGGGAGAGGATGTGGACAGCCACATGTCTGCTCTGATAAACAACGTATCTACAAACTAGGAGATTCACCAGGGCTGTACACAGAGATTCACATCATCCCTCGCTGGTTTCCCACAACCAAGTTGCTTATGGGGGTTGAGCACTGGTCTTATATTAACTGTGTTGCCCATGTGCTCCTTTCAGTTGTATTTTATTGGGTGTTCAAAATGTTGTTTGTTTACTTACTTTAAGCGGATATTGGTCTAAGGTGTTAGACACAATTTAGTACCTTTTTTTAATCAGTGATACTAGGCTGTTAACAGGCCTGAATGTTAATATTAAAGTGTTTCCACTAACAGATGAAAGTTGTTTTGTGCCTCCTGCAGTCCTCTGCCCTGCAGCAGCACAGTCTGTGTGAGGACTCTGGAGCTCAGTCTTTCCTGGCCAAGCAGAGGCAGTCCACCCAGGCCAGGAGAGTGCTCTCCCCCCCGGCTGCAGCCCAGGTAGGAGGCCTCATCTGCAGAGAGAAATAGAGGAGTGCAGCCCACTCATCGGCAGGATGGAGACCGAGATTATGGAAGAAGGTGTGAATTTTCACTGACTAAGGTTCTCACTGTATGTGGTCTGTTTGGTTTGCTGCTGTCACCCCCGCCTGGCCGTTGTTGGTACTGAAGCGACATTAGGAACTTGCTGTAAAAACCAAATAGTGTCATAGATGACTGTTTTTATTTGTGTTATAACTGAATCTGTGCTTGTAAATAATCACCAGATGCTCTATTCCTCATTGTATCATATTTATAAATTTATTTTTTGCAGGTAAGATACAATTTCCTTTAGAAATAATGCAAAACAAATTACTATTCCTGAAACTAAGAATAGTGTCATTTCATTCAATATTTGTTTAAATTAGTTTTTTTAAACATACACAACATAATGCATTACAAATCATTCTATTTACAGGTTTTTCTTCAATAATCAGGGTGAATAAAATGAACAGAGAAACAGAGAGAACCCATTTTATCTTTTTAGCACCATTTTCTGTTCAAACTTCGGCTAAAGCTGAAATAGGAGCAAAGACTTTAGTAGCAACAGGGAATCTATATTCTACACTATCAAATGTGCAGATAACTGAAAAACCAGAACTTTAACCACACACATTTTCAGTTTCATCTCCTTTGTACCCAGGTAACTTTGACTTGCTTAGCTTTGCACAAAGGCTGAAAGCAGAAACAGCTAATTATGTTCTGTCAAAGGTGCCCTGCAACAACCTTAATGCTGTTATATTATGTTGTATTTTCTGTATTTAACATATGTATAAGTAAAACACCATTATTTTAATGAGCAGCTAGTTTTTTTACTTAGCTAACTGCCTCATGACACCAAAGTCCCGTCTAACAGTGAAGTCTGTGGCATTGTAGACTTTCACAACTAAACCCAGGTGAGTCTTGGATGCACTGGTGACTTGTTTCCTAGCTACCAAAATAAAACCTGTAAATAAGACAATTTTGGAGTCAGTGAAGGTTTGTTTTTCTCCTTTTTTAATAGAGGCAAGCTGCCTCTTGTCCCTGTTCTAACCTAGGCTAAACATGTGATGAAACTGATTTAGCCTAGCTTAGCACAAACATGTAGCCTAATGTCTGAATGCACAGATATTAAATAGATAATTGTGTTTACACACACACGTTAATGAATCCTCCCAAATTTTGCTTTAAGGTTCCTTCAATCTAATATCAGACTTAAGGTTTCTTCCTTCAAATATCAGACTTTCCTCCAAGGTCCCAGATGATGTGTTGAAGTTGAACACTGTCAGTGAGGTGAGAGGGGGTGGGGTGGGGGGTTACTTTGGAAATACAGCGAGCTATAGGTTTCTGTATCAACAATGTTATTTCCAAAAACTGGTCATCGTATGGCCCCAAAGGTGTTGTAGACTCAAAGTAAAAGTGGAAGCAAACTTCCATAGCTATGACTAATCACTCACTTGAAAGCGTGCACTTAATCAAGCATTACAGTTTCAAACAGTCAAAAACTCATGGGAACCTAAGATCCAGTGAGCTCTGACCCCATGCTCACGCTGCGGAAACGCTGGGGTTCATTGTAAGATGGCACAGTGAGGAAGGACATATTGTTTCCACCGAAGGAAGGTTTGGGTACAGTGGGCACGACTCTGTTGTGGTTGATAGCTGGCTGGGAGCTGCAGTGCTCCAGACTGGAGTGGGCAGCGGGGTGAAACAGGAAGGCAGAGGGGTGATCGGAGGCGATGGGAGTGACAGACGCTGGTCGAGTGGACGTCTCTTTGGAGGACTGGCTGGGAGGAGGGGGAAGCAGTGACACTGGAGCTTGGGTCTCCCAGCTTGTACTTTCTGCTTTCGCTCCCTCCTCCCTCATCTGCCACTCTGCATCACTCTTCCCCTCCTTCTTCTCACTGATAGCGGGGTGCCCCCCTCGCCTCTCCTGTTCTGCCCCAAACTGAATCTCCAGCAGAGGTGTTCTGGCGCTCTTCTCTTCCCTAAAACTGCACACAGTGCTCTGGGTTTCCTGCCCCAGCCCTGATGGTAGAGACCCCCCTTTGCCTATCTTACAACTTTCATCGTCGTCATCATCACTGGTGCATTGGTCAATGCTGGGAGAGTGGCGTAGCCTCTGGAGCTGGGCTGAGGTGCGGCGAAGAGCCCCTCCCATGAGGCCAGTGGGGGACGGCGCTGCGTTAAGGAGGCGGTTGAAAAGGGCCATGTTGGGGTGACGACTGCCTGACTCCTCCAAGTTCTCAGCAATGTCCTCCAGAGGCTGGAAGTGCATCTCCTCCTTAGGGATCCTGTCAAGAGATGTGATGGTGATTTATGAGCAGTTGCCTGAAAATACCAAACTTTCACCTCTCGTGTTTGGTGGGTTTTTTTTTCTTTTTTCTCTGATCTAACTTTTTCAGTTCTAACTACTTTGTGAAATAAGGCAGAACACTTTCATTTTCATCACCCAGATTTTCTCACACCAGTTGGGCAATTCAAACTGAAAGTGTCACATTCAACGAGTCACACGTACAATGAGAAGGTAAAACCCAAAAACTTACGCCATGTCAAAAGTGGACCCCTGGAAGGACGGTTTGCGGAGGACAAAGAGAGTGGCAGCGGTGTAGGGTGGCCGGGGGTTGGAGTCATTCCAGTAGCGGTCTCTCTCCATCATCGGCAGATCTCCATACATCTCATCCACTGCCATCATGGACACCTGTAGAGTGAAATGCACACACACACACACACACACACACACACACACACACACTGATGAAGTGTCCACAGTAGAAAATGGATGAGAATTCATTTAAAAGATAGATGAAAACACATGACGTCATGATCACTGGTTGCAACCTGTTTTTAGTTGCCTTACTGAGGCTCATTATAGCTGTCTGACTGCCACAAGATGTGGTCAAGTTAAAATAGGAGACCCTGGTGAAGCAGTATTTAATAACATGGCCCTATATGGGATCATACATTTTCCTCCTCAGAAACAGGGGGGTGACAAATTAAGAAAAAGAGAGAGCATCAAGAAACCTGAAAATTTCTGTCTATCAGCCAGTTAGTCTCAAAGTCATCGTCATCTTCTCCAAACGGGTTGATCAGCTGCTCTGCAACCTTCAGGACAGAAAAGAAAATTCAACAAGCCGATTATAGACATCATGTTAAAAAATTTACATCATGCTCAAGCGTCAAAAGCGAACAAATGGTGTGTGACCCTTTTCGTCTGACCTTGAGCCACCCTGCGTAAAAGAAGAACTGTAGCAGAGTGAAGATGGGCACGTAGAGGTCAAGGTCATGACCTGGATAACCTTGACTGGGGTCCAGGAACTGACGACCAATTAGACACACCAGGAAGAAACTGTACACGGCCAAAGTCACCACCTGTGGGACGGATGACGTTATATGAACACGTCACGCTTGTCTATCTTTTTAAATGACATTGATTTTAAGTGATATTTCATGCAGACAGCAAACTGCAGTCGGACTCTGCTGGATGCAAATAAGATTGTATTACTGTTTGAAAACCAGACCGATAATCTTGTATTGTATTTTAAATCGCTGACTGACAACACACCTGGCAGCATGAACCAAAGTGTCACGCAGGGGGTTAATAAAAAGTACTTTTGAAATGTGGCTCATCACTTTGTCAGGATAGTTTTTAACAGAGTAAATTTCAGTATGAAACAATAGTAACCAGTAAAAATAACGTTCCTCGCACTGCTCATCTAATATAAGTTTATAACATATATGAAATACCCATAATAATATTTGTATATGTACATTTATTAAAAAAAAAAAACTATATGTATATTTTCAATTTTATTAAAACAAGATACACCAAAAACTCTATATGCTTATACACGTTTTTCTTATTAATTCTTATTAATTTTAAACATGTCTATCTTCCCATTCTGGAAATGGTCTCTATAATATCAACGTATATTGACAGGCATATGTTTACAATATAAGCACATATACATAAATATACATATATGTATATGTCAATATATACAATTGTTCCAATTTCTAAAAGGTTTCATATATATTTTTTACATATATGTTTTTATTTTATATGTAGATATATTTCATATATGAACATTCAATATAGGCAAATGTACTTATATTACATTTGCATATAGGTAATAATCTTAATTAGGGCTGTACTCCATTTATGTCATTAGTAACAACATTAAAGTTGTCGTTTGCTCCGCTCATACGAGTCAACATGCCATGAAAAGGCCTGTGCTTGCTGAAAAAAGTCAAAGGTACAAGACTGTGTATGTAAAACGTTAGAAGAGAAGCACTGCAGTAAGAAACATCCAATACTCCTCTTCCACATCAGACAGAAAAGGTCTTACTAATAACAACTGCAATGGCCCAGTGTCCCAGTAGTCGGCCATGACAGTGCGACAGTGAGCAGCATGAACAACACCAGGATCCTGAAACTCAAGCAGCTAAATGGAACTCAGCCATAATTCATTTTATTATTTACACCTGAGGTTTTCCTACTAGAACATTTCTAAATGTCTTTATCTGAACTTTCAAATGTTGGAGCCTGCACTGACAGTCAGCTGCTTCAATCAATTATTGGCTGGACTCTGAATTTATACCATATACTATTGCCACTAAGGCCCTTGGGAACTGTAGTATTTAGAGCCATAGCAGCTAGCACACTGATGTGAAAAACAACAACATGATACTCCAGTATCTCCAGAGTTGAAATAATCCTAAACCAATGGCACATAATATAAACTTTTATTTTTCACCCAGTCAGGACGTGTAGGTGTTTCTGTGTTGAGCAACTTTAAATGGTGACAGTTATCACTATCACTGTGAATTCACATTAAAGGAAGCTAATGTACCATGTGGGCGAAATACAATTCCAATTCCATATAGTTTAATATTAATGTTAGATGGGGTCAGTGTATCAATACATGCATGTCCTTTTAGGAAATCAGCTTTGAGTATAAACACACACTCTCCATCGCCTGCAACAAACTTTCAATCTTTAGGACCAAAGTATAAAATTAACAAAATGCCAAGTAAAATATGAAAGCCTCAAGGGAAAGATAAAAACAAGCAGTCTGAGTGTCATCAAATGCAGTGTGTATAGCAAAGTCAGGCAACATGGCACCTACCTGAGTGTAGACCAGGGGGACACTGATCATGTCATAATGAAACAACATGCTGCACTTCCCTCTGAACCCATTCAGCTCCTGTCGACGCACAAAAAGAGACTTAGTGAGGTCACGTTCCAGCATTAGTCCTGACTCTTCTGTCTCCATGTCTGCGTGAATATACATCCAAAACTGAGTCTTTGTCAAAACACAGGAGCTGTAATTCCTGCTCATCGGTGTGTGTGTGTGTGTGTGTGTGTGTGTGTGTGTGTGTGTAATGGTGCACCTCCAGCAGCAATTTGAATGTGTGATCGTCTTTGATCCTGCCCTCGCAGCGGGCCACAGCAGCCAGGTTGGTGAACCACACGCAGGGGATCCAGTATTTGTTATAAGGGGAGTGGAGACCCTCGAACTTCTTTCGTTCCTCTCTCGTCATAAATCCTGCACAGACAGCAGACACAAAAAGCTCATGCCTCAGATGCATTTATTCCTCGTGTAAAATTTGGCTCAAGGACAGAGGAACAAGAGATCAGCTCTCTGTGTGATTTCGCCTGTGGTTGCTTGAACTTTTCTCTGGGTCACATTTTCTAACAAGTTATTATACTGTATAGTGAGTGAGAACAACCTCTGTGTTGTGGAAATGACATCATAGCTTTATCAGTTAGATAACAGCTTGTGAAAATTTTTTTTTTACAGTTTTGATCCCATCAAAAACTGCACTATGTTTACTCCACAGACCAGAGCACTGCTACACCAGTGTCTTGAGATCTTGTTAGAGGCGTGTGATAACTTCCTTTATCAGTTGTGAATTTCAGGATGTGCCTGTCCTTGTGATTTCTCCTGTGCTCTCTGGTGTAGAGAATGTACAGAAGAGGAAACAATACACGTTCAAGAAGTGCATGTGACTGATCAAATCACTCCGACTATAACACTTCCTGTCACTTCCTGAATACAGTGTGAACAATACAGTGGTCAACCAGGCGCATAAACCTCTGTAAATAATAATTACTGATTGTGTATTTGAAGAGTACGTTTATCACTTTATTTCAAGTTATGATCATTTCAATCTGCTGTGGATAATTGTTTAAGATCCTGCCTGACTCCCTGCTAAATCACAGTGGATGTCGTATAGGTACCTACTCACCAGCCTCCACCACATGGTCCATGGTGGGGAAGCGTTTGAAGACAGCCGTGCTGACAGAGCGGAGGATGAGCAGGGCCGACAGGCTGGCGTAGCGCATCATGGTGCGTCTCAGCAGGCGGCCTCGCTCGTCGCTCCCCTGGAGGCCGCCGGACAGGACGCACATGAGCCTGTCGGGGAGAGGGATGCTGGTGTACTGGCTCCACCACCTGTTCACCACCAGGGTCACGTAGAAACCTGGAATCAGCAGTGGAGAGGACACACAGGTGGAGATGTAGATCAGACCTGGAAGGAAGGGCTACAGATAGTTTTCTGGGTTCTCTGGTGAAGTCTAGAAACCATCAGGTCATCTTAAATGTGGCATCAGGAACCTCCAGCAATATAACAAAGTGTTTTTTCTTACATAAATTGTACTATGGAGCCCAACTTATTCATTAGAGAGCCAATATTGTCAGATAACCTTGACCTTAACCTTATAACATGCTGTATATATGTGAAAGTGTTTTAGCTGATGTACATGCATGAAGAAAAAAAGAAAAGAAGGAATTAAAAAATATATGAAAAAAAAGATGAAATGACTGAGCCTGTGAGAATGGCGTGTTGGTATCACATATTCATAGAAATAATGTCCAGTATATTTTGCTCTCAATAGTCAATAATAGTCAATATTCAAATCATTAAATTGGAATGTTACAGTACATATATTTATATCTCCTAGACAATAACAGTCATGTATATGTGCCTCTAAACTATAAACCTATCAAACAGGGGTCTTGAACTGAGGATCCTCTGATACGTTGTCATGTAAATTATTTTGTCATGTACCCTGATCTCCCTGAACTGGTACGTACTGCAGCTCAAACACTGTCCTCTCCTCTGTTATCTCAAAGTTGACAAGAACATCATTAAAGCTTACCCAGTACAAAGGACATAGGGATGAGACTGGCATAGTGGTTGCAATAAATTGCCAGTTTTTCAAAATACCTCTTCTGGTCATCATAGAGGAAAAATCTAAAATGGCAAAAATGATAGAAAATGATGTGTAAGTCAAAACACAGATATTTCTCAGTTGCCAGTGTTTCCCCGAAGCTGCTGCCTCACCTGTAAGTGATGCTGATGGCTGTGTACATGGCGAAGAAAGTCAGGAACTCTTTGTACAGCACCTTGTAGATGCTGCCTTTCCACATCAAAAGCAGCTTGGAGAAGCCACAGAATCGGGCGTTTGCAACTCTGGCCGTGTAGGTGACAGTCATTGGGGACAGCCAGATCACAGGTCCTCACGATAAAAGAGCTGCGTGACAGAAAGCATCACCTGTGTAGTTACACCTGCACTGGGACCGAACGTGCTCGTGTAACAGGTTCAGGCTGGTCAGAGGCCGTGAAGAGATGGTCAATCAGTCTGCTGTATAACAGTGATAACACTAAACAACTCTCTGCTCATCTTATTTGATACCCAGGTAAAGTATGTTCCAATGAGGCTGTGGCGGGAATCCAATTGAGCAGGATAAAAACTTACTGCTAATGTATTTTATCTTGGAAAAAAAAAAAGCTTCTCCTTACCTTTTGTAGCTGTTTTTCTGGATGAATGTGCCAGTTGCTCAGCGCATCCCTGTGCGTAATTGGCACCACTGAAGAAGTGAATTCATATTTTCACTTAGCAGTATAGTCTCCTCTGTGCCGCTCTCTGAGTTTGCCACTGGTGCTTTTTTTCAAAGAGCTCATAACCCTGATATCCCCTGGCGTCAGCTCGGTTAACTCGGGGCTGGGTCGGCGGCATGGCAGTAATCCTTGGAGCTTCCTCGGTGCGTCCAGTGGTCAGCGCGCCCCGGGGTAAATCCCCAAAATGAGGAGGAGGAGCTCGTTAGCGCGGCCCCCGACCGGGAAAGCGCGGTTCGGTGATGGACCGCAAGCGACAGGCCGCAGCGCCGGGGCACAAGGAGCGCACAGGACCGTACAGTACAGCAGGGAATTATGAAACAGGAGCAAGTGGACCATGGCAAACTTTCGTGTTAAGTGATATGAAAACAACAACCAATTTCCCCGGTTACAGGTCTGTAATTACTACTTGTTGCGGCTTAAATAACAAACAGATTACCTCACAATAAAAGCGTTTTATGTCACTGCGTCTCTCAGACTGACTTTTTCTTGTAACAAGATAAAAAATCCCAGTGGGGTGTGATAATCCCACTTGTTCCAAATGCAGTTCCCCACCAGGACAGATTTTTTTTCTGAGAGGAAATACTTTGATTTAACAGACTATAAATAATTTACGGGTGATATTTTAAGCAGAGATGACACTTTAGTGCCACAAAGGGTATTTTGAGCTTTTGCACCTTTTTCTAATAAGAATCTTATATTTTACAAAAAAAAATAAAATAATTGTTTGTTTCTCCTGCTCTGCTTTGCTCAAGGTTAAATGGGGCTCCATGTTCTGTCAGAGGTAATCTGCAGGCTGGGCAAGAAAATTAGCTTCAGTCCTCTCCAATTAACAGATGGATGAACCAGAGATCAAAAGAATGACCACAGCAGACTCTCATCTGAGGCAAGTTTGTTTTAATTAACACTTGCAACATAATTTAAAATTGATAGAAAACAGCTTCTTATTGACTCCAAAGCATTCAGTAACAGTGAGGAGGGACTATGCTCTTGCTTGGGGGATGTATTAATCTGTCTTCTATTTCTCTCTGTTGGGAAATGTAGGGAAACAAGCATCAAGCCAGCCAATCAGAGGCCAGTCTTCAATGACCAGGGCAAGGATGCTTTACTCACCATTCACTGGTTCAACATTTGATCAAGCAACATTCAATATAATTTTAATTAACAATGCACTAAATAAGGCTAATGACTAATGTCTTTCGATAGTGTTCCCATAGGCTTTAGTTCTCAGTAAACATGGTGGACACGTTTAACAGAGAGGAGCATTAGATGAGCTTCATGAGCACTGAGCGGGAACTTGTACCAGGAGTTCAGCACTGTCGATAACAAACTCTTTTCGCTTCCAGATGCTAAAACATTAAGAATCTCATCATGTTTTTCCTTATCCTCTAAAAACTGGTGCTGACTCCATCCATGAACAACCTCAAGCTACTGCAGAGGCCTATTATATGTATGACTGTCCAGTTCAAACAATAATGTAGCCATAGAGGATATAAAGCTCCTAATTTGACTCGATTCAAAATCTCATTGACATTGCGTAACTGCATTTACACCATAATCAAATGGAAAGGTGAAGTCTGAGGATTTGACAAATGGTAAAACACACACTTTTGACTGCTTCGGTTTTATTTATTGCAATAACAAGGATGGTCTTGGTCAAGAGTCAGGATAACTAAAGACCACAGGCCATATTCTTTGATAGTGTGTTTTTTTTTGTTTTTCACTGCCCTGCCGTCACACCCTGAATCTGTAAAAAAAAAAAAAAAAAAAATTTGGATGGAAATTCCCAATGTGTGAGCGATGGGTTTGTTTGAAATTTTAGTCAAAAAGACAAACTGGAGAATAGACACTGCCACCAAACCACACAGAATAAACAAGGCATTAACATCAACCATCTGAATTATGCACTACACAGCACCGTCACCGGAAACACTTGTTTTTTTACAACTGAGGCTGGAAACTGTGTAAGATGGAGGAGGAGGGGAGAAAAAGTTAAATGCTTTAAGTGGGAATAGTACAACTGCCACACAGAGGATAATGAAGACAAAGAGTGAGAGTAAGGCAGCACAAATCTGCACCGTCTTATCTCTAATATAGCAGAATATGTATATGTGTGTTTGTGGTTTCATCAGCTCCCCTTCATTAAAGGCGTGTCTTGCCGTAGAAGTGCTCTGCTTTGGATGACGGGCTGAGGACTGAGTGGATCATCTTGAGGCTGTTATTGTGGGGTTTGAGGCTGGCTGGGGAGGGGGGCTCAGAGGAGGTGAGTTCAGACTGTAGATAGAGGTGTGGTCTGTAGAGGGGGGCAGGTGGGGAAGTCCTGCAGGGAGGGAGATCACTTGTTTGGGGGTTTGTAGGGTTCCAGAAGTTGCTTTGAGAACGTGTTGACCTTGTCGGCACCTCGAACTTCATGGGGCAGCAGCGGCAACTTGACTATGTGGAAATCTTCATAAAGATCCTCCATCTGTAGCGAGAGGACAGGCCATGAATGAGGACAATAACGTGACATTTAACAGCAAATATTTTCAATATGATCAATGTTATTATTATTATTTTGGTTTCAATGACGCAGCTGTGTTGTAAAAATTGAAAAACACTCGTACCTGATCTAAATACTTGGACTGAATTTTATGGCGGGCTTCACACATTTTACACGGTCTCTCTGTGTCAGGGAAAACAAGTTGGTTGACGATGATGTTGTGTGTGTCAATGCGGCACTTGGCCAGCTCCTGGATCAGACGCTCTGTCTCATACAGGGAGAGGAACTCAGCGATACACACACAGATGAAGGTGGTCTGTTCCTGATGGATGTGAGAAACAACACATATACAGAGAGCTTTTAAAACTACTAATTTGTGCTGAGTTGTTCTAAATGCAAAAATAAAATGATTTTTTTTTTTATCTACAAAACATCTATGTGAGAGCTAGTTTCAGCATTGGAAGGCACAGTATGGACAAGTTGAAATGTAAATAACAACATAAAAGCAACTGCACTAACACTTGTTATCCTGAAGACACAGTAATGTGATTGTTTTATATACAGTGTTGTATTTGTGTGACTTACAGGGTCTTTGAACTGCTCACTGACGGAGCGGATGACTGGCAGGGTCTCTTCAAGCTTAGAAGCAAGCTGGTCTGCGTTCATGTCACCCAGGCCGAGCATGTTACACATCTGCAAACGATGAGAGAAGCAGAGAGAAGTTATACAATATACAGGGGGTTCAACCACGCACAAGATCTGATGTACAGGTTCCAAAAAAATTAATCAGAAAACTACCTTGCATTTAAAACATGAACTTTATGTTTTCTTTCCATTCAAAGCTCAGCAGCAGTTATGTGGATTAACTGGACACCCTGACTAACAGAAAAATTGGTAAATGACCTCACCTGGGAGATGAAAGGGCTGATCTGGTTCTTGATCTGCATGAGGCGGCCAAGTCCACGCTCCACAATGGTGGGGAAGTTAAGCAGCCGCAGCGTGTGGCCAGTGGGGGCAGTGTCGAAGACCACCACTGAGAAGTTCATTCCTTTCACTAACCTGAGGCACAGGGAGAAAATAGTGCTGTTAGTATAACTTTATACAGTAAAAGGTAAATGCAGTTGTGGATCAGTACTATTTGTAATAAAATGTGCTTTGGCTTTGTATTGATCAGACCTCATGACCTCTGCGTAGCTCATGGCCTCGTCGATGCCAGGGAAGGCACTCATGGCCTCCTGCATCATCTTTTTGCCCATGCTGAGCATGTTGTCCTCCTCAAAGAACTCATCCGGCAGCTCTGCCACACCCAGGCTTGGGTCAATCTCCTGTACTCTCACACACACACACACACACACACACACACACACACACACACACACACACACACACACACACATTACAAACTGCAAATATTTTCAGAGCCTCTGGTGTCTCTGTTACAAAAAATGGTTTGTGCTTCTGAGACCTAGCTGCGGAACTGACCACCCTCATGACACTGAAGAGATAGTGATCTCATGCACTTAGCTTAACTTTCCAAAAACAGCATAAAGAAACACTTTGTTTTCAGATGTTGCTGTAGTTCTACCCACTTGTCAGACTAATTTTAGGAGACTTTTGAAATACAGCAAAAAGTAAAATGTTAATACAAAGAGACATCTTGACGTGCCACATTGGAAAATAATCAAAGGTGTAAGTAATAAAGTTAATGATCAGTTCTGTTTAGCTACTTCAGTTTCAGGGTCCTGGTATTGTGCATGCTGGCTCACTGTCACACTATCATGGTTTACTGGGGCGCTTGAACACAACAGAGCCATTGTTGATGTCATTAGCAACACCTGTGGTCTGGCTTCTGCAATGAGGAGTCAAAATGTTTCCTGGAAGAATGTCCTATTTTGTTAAAAAAAGGAAATTGTTTTTGCCACAGTACTGATTTAAATCAGGCTATTTAACAAAATCAAATGTTTCAGTAACTTGTGGTTTGAGTGAGTAATAGATCAGTCTTTCTTAATGCTGTAGCTTTCTCTATTGCTACTGTTCTTTTACCTTCTGCACAAATTTCATTACTCTACCACCCCACGTGTACATACAATTTACACATCTTATTCTTTCTGTGATATATTCCTTTGTAAAATCCCTTTCTCAGGGTTTCCTGTTTGCAAGTTGACTCACCATTGCAAAGAGGTTGTCATAGCCCTTGACCTTCGTAGGCACCTTTGAGAACTTCTGGTCAAAAGCATCAGAAATGTTATGGGCAGGATCTGTGGAGATGATGAGGACGCTCTCCCTGACTGCAGCCAGCTGGACAGCCAAACTACAGCTTAACAGATGACACGAAGGAGAGACAGGTCAAACAGTGTTGCAAGTGTTTCACAAGAACACTTCATGTCATCAACACTCCCACAGACAGCTTGGCAGTAGGTTAAATATGTAGCACTGATAACAAGAAGTAAGACTGAATTCTCTGAAACTTTTTTGTTATGGTAATATTGTTATGCACCTTGACTGTTCTCTTTTCCTGGCCTTTGAAGCTGCAGTAACCTTAGCAAGTTAAGTCATACATTTTGATAATGGTTCTAGTGACATTTAAACAATGCCATCATATCCACCATGCCTTACATGACGCTTAAACCTTTATGTGTGGAAATCAGTCTGACAACACTTACTGTCATAGTTAATAATGAAGTGACGTTATCAACCAGGTAAAATACCATACTATATTTGACATTATGGGGGTTTACCTAGCACTAACTCCTTCGGTGCTTACTTAACACCGATCTGCATTTGACTATATATTCCTAATGATATTAAAAGCATCAATCAGTGTCTTCAACCTTGAAAGTTAACGTCATAGCAAGATAGCTAGGTAATGTATTATTTACCCCAGGGCAGTTGTCCATTTACCTAGCTTAGATACAAGATACCGCTAAATTACCCTACACAAGGTCGAATGTTCTCCCGGTAAATGTGGGAAGAAATGTGGGGATGAGCAGGCTGTCAATACCAGCCTGCACTGTGATTATCACACTGCCTAAGAGAGAGCCATGAATCCATGTGTCAGCTGGCTAACGTTAGCTAGTGACAGTGCTAGACGGCATTCAACTAGCCGGCAAATTGACACTTAGCTTAGCCTTATTGACTTAAAATGTAACGGCAATGCTAATTATATTTTAACGTTAGCGCGTCTGAAGATGGTGACCTAACGCTCATTAGATTCTCGTTATGGAAAAACAACACATATTATTCGTTTACTGACTGTGATCCACGGCAACTTCTAGTGACGGCTAATCTCAGACAGCTGTGTTAGCTAGCGGCGTTAGTCAAGACCAGCAGGCAAACGAGCCTTTCCCTTCAACTTACCTACATGTCGTTTTACCAACACCACCCTTTCCACCAACAAATATCCATTTCAAAGACTTCTGCTCGATAATATTCTTCAGGGTTGGTTCTAACGGCTCCACATCAGGCGCATCTTCAAATTCGTCTTCCAATGAAGCTGCCATCTTGTCTGTGTACACTGTAACGTACAGCTCAGGTGGGATGTGCCGACACTGCTGCCTTCACTGATCCTCGGAGTTTTGGCTAACTATACCTGACTATGTCACTGGGCTGATATTGAAATATAGGGCGAATTGGAACACAAGTAGTTTTGTGGTCGGTGTGAAAGGTGTGTCCTCACGATGCTAGCGTGTCAGCGTTTATGACAATCTACCTCCAAACAGGTACTTCTACCACTATTAGAGGTGGGGCCAGAGTGGGAAACACAGAGAACGTTTCAAAACCCAGATGGTAGTAGTAGGTCAAAGGAGTTAATTCACTCTTTTAGTGATCTTTACATTTACTTCAAATAAAACCATCAAAGGACATATAAACAAGTGTGTGATAATTTACAACTATTTCAGTGCTTTTGAGACCAAGCACTCATGTCAAGCAATAAAGATTAAGTAGACATCAAATAAATAAAAAAAATCATCATCTCAGCTCCAAGCTATACTTTATTAATGTCATATGATTTTTATTTCTGCAACACCTTAAACATCTTTACTTGGCTAGAGATGATTTCAGACAAAACAAAACACTTCTTGTCACATAAATAAATTTGAAATGGCACAACAGGTCAAACATTTCTCTTTGATCTTTTATTTGGGGTTAACATAATAATTTGTTTGCTGTAAAAACCTAAACTTGCACGTGAAACAAAATTGCAAAAATAGAAAAAAGAGTTGAAAACGCTGCAGTAAAAACACACTGAAAAAACCCATACATCAATTTCCCACGTGATATGAATGTAGCACAACCCACAAGAAACATGGGACTACTGCAGGGATGACAGATTAGCATTACTGATATCAAACGTTTATTTGACTGTTAGAGCCAAGCTTGTGACAGAAAGGTCTAAATATTTGAGAATAGAGACACAGAGTGAACAGGGATCCTACACAGTACATCATCACTGCATGTCCACCTAACTTTGCAGCTGCTTCCATAAAAAGAGGACTGTAGTTGGACTGTTAACTCCCTGCTTGCAATCAAGTATACATGAAATAGATATTAGGCGTATAGAAACCCAGCTGCAGATGAGGACTGAAAAACTGAGGTTCTGGTGATAAAAACATTCATTTACATGAACATGTACATGCTGTGACCACAGAATATGGCACTTGCCTCCATAAACACCTTTTCATTGCTTCACCTGTCCTCGCTTCAGTGCTGCCTTTATACCCTTCACCCTTAATCTTTCTGGATCCATTGCCTCCATCTCTGATTTCCTGGCAGTGCCAAGCCAGAATATTTATGTGTGTTGTCTGAGCTCTCACACACTCCATCCCGCTGGGAAAGGAGCAACGTTGCACTCTGTTTCCTCTTTCACAATCAGTCTGACGCAGCCAACGAGGCCAGAAAGCTGGGCCCAGATCCATCCATTGGTAGTATAATTCACATGTGGCAGAGCTCACCAGCCAGGATCGAACTGCACTGGCGACATCCGAGGGCAGAGAACCGAAATCCAGACCTGCAGCTTCCTTCTCCAGCGTCAGGTGATGGTTTGCTGCAGCCTCTCTGAGCTCTGAAGAAAAACTTAGCGTTGACTTCTCTTTGCTGGTGGGTAATTTGATAGGCAGTGTGTCTCCATGCAACAAAGATCGGGCATCACGGTGACCCCCAGAGGCCTCGGGTGGCTGCTCTACGGACATCCAGAATGGGTCAAAAGAGGATCCCAGGAGACGCAGAAGGTGAGAAGGCCGGCGATGTCTGGGTTTGGGCAGGTAGTGATAATCTTCAGTGTGTGTCAGCAGAGTGTATGGACGGATCGGCTGCGAGAACGACGGTAGGCTGGCTCTCAGCTGGAGAAATGTATCCTCCTCGTCTTGAACAACAGTCACTTTTGGAAGCTGATTCTCAGTTGAAATGTTGGAAGTAAAGGCTTCACATCCACACAGAAAGACGGACACAGAGATCCAGCAGAGACAGACACAGTTGGACAGTTTAAACATGGTCTTAGGTCTGGATGGTGAAACAGGAGTGAAAAATTGTTCCTCTAGTTTTCCTTTTCATCCCGTTCAGTTGTAGTTTCTCCTCTGGCTGCATCAGGGACACCGTGTACCCAACGCCAGACATCCTTGAGCTCTTAAACAATAACATACTGAAAGTAGTGCCTTATCACTCAAACAGCAGTCATATTATGGAGCATGGCCAGAGCACACCTGAGCCCCCACTTCTCTTTCAAGGCTCTGATGTTTCAGCTAACTCGCCCATGCAAAAATACAGGACAAAGCTGCATGTGTTGATTACCTACTTACTTAAATTATAACAGATTAATATGTGTGCTAATTTCATGTAAAGTCATCTAGTAATGAAAAAGGAGTTCTGCATATTTCACAACAAGCACAAAACAGGAAAAAAGTATCATTTGACCTCAATTTGGCGGAGCTGCGTCAGCGACCTCAGACACGAGATTTTGAGAAACAACAGCTCTCTTACACAAAGACTGCACTTAGATCAGTTAGAAAACAAGCCTCAGGGTAAACTCACTTCATGGCAGCTCCGATATGGACACAGCAGAAAAAAAAAAAAAAAAAGAGGACAGATGACATGTTTGCAACACGATGCCCCGTTTATTCTCATCTACACAAAATCAGCTGTCTCAGTCAAAGGCACACGATGGTGTAATATCAAATATATTCTCAAACATTATACTTCACTGTAAACAGTTGTTGTTTTTGTTTACATCAACATTATAATAATACATTTCATAAATACTTCCACATAAAGTTGTTTATACTTACACGTAAAGATACAAACAGCAGAATGAACTAAGAAATACTGCATTTATGCAATAAGTTGATTGGGCAGCAGTTCTGTAGTGTCAGGCTTTATTGTGTGTGTGTGTGTGTGTGTGTGTGTGTGTGTGTGTGTGTGTGTGTGTGTGTGTGTGTTCTTTCAGAGAAAACCTGACTTGGCACAGCATGCCTGACTGTAGGTACTGTACATTTCAAAGTGACGGTCTGCGTATTGAACCTTATCATCCACCCATTCCTCTTCTACGTCTCCACTCAGAGTGAAAAGAGCTGGTCATGTGACCTGTCCTGCTGCTGGGTAGACTTTGGCGGCGGTCTGGATGTGGAAGGCGGCCCGCTGCGAGTCCCCTGGCTGCTGTGGTCCGCCGCCTTTGCCCGATCTTCCAGAAACTTGTCGAATTCTGAGCGAGACGGTTACAGTTAAAGGTTTGTGTGTCTGCATCTGTCTGCATGTGCATGTGCGTGTGTGTGTGTGTGTGTGTGCTGCTCAAGTTACACAACATACCTTCACTGGACACTCCCTCACAAACTGAAGACTGCTCTTCCTGTATTTCCAAACACAAGAAAACACAAAGGCTCAAGATCATATCATACTTTTATCACATATTCTTCCTCCTAAAACACAGTTTTTATTTCAGTCTTACCGTATCAGAGGATAACCATTTGTCAATATCATTCTGCACAGGGTTTTTTGCTGGTGGCATCTGAGAGGTAAAGTAATCAAGAGACGGATAAGATGACACTGTGTTGTAGCGATTTATATAAACAGAACTATACAGGAAGTGTTCTGTTCAAATCCACGTGTGTTATTGTGGTACACTCACTCCTCCTGTGACCTGCAACCTCGTGTCCAGAGCTCCGGCGAGGCCCTCCACAGCTCCTGGGTCCTCATATCTGACACTGGACACACACACACATCAGGGATGTATTGTAATGATGTGATGATGTGTAATGATGTGATTAATTGCCATTTTTGTCTTTATTTGACAGCCACAGTGAAGGAAAACACAGGACATGTGGAGACGGATGGGGATAACATGCAACACGTCCACAGGTGGGACTCAAACCATGGAAGGTTGCAATTGTGATGCAGTTAAAAAATCTAAATTGTCAAAATTGAAAACAAATTTGAATAATAAAATTGCAAAGGCTTTGTCTTCCTTACATGATGTCACATATAGTAGATTGTACTACTAAGAACTCCATTCAAAAATGACAAATTCTTCCTTACATTTATAGATTAAGTTACAGATGTGTGTAAGGTAAATCAGTTACAGCTCGCCACAAGGCTTCACTTGTGCTCAGTGCTGCACACAAACACAACACATGTACTGACAACACGTACCATGATATGAAGTGTGTCTCTCTGTCACCAGTTAGCACCACTCACCTTTTCCTCTGCTCAGCCAGGGAGCTGCCTCTGGTCTGGGCAAACATGTCAAACTCCTCCTCTTCTTCTGCAAGGCAGAGGGTTAACTCATGAAGTCACAACTGACATGTTATATATGAGCCAGAGGGAATGTTACGACATTCCATCATTGATCAAACCCCCCCTCTACCCCTCTCTCCACATACAACCTTCACCTTGCAAACTGATCACATGGTGCAACGGTGCAGTTTTGGATTTCCTCCCTGAAACTTGCTTTTCATAAGATGTGATGCTAGCCATGGCGATGCTTGTTATGATGCATTGCATGCATTTTTAACAAGAGACCACCTTATCATGGGATCAACATGTTTAAGTACCGACCTATGAGTACTCAAAACCGCCTCAGTGGTACTTCCTGCAACACTAGGTGTCTCCACCACATTTTGCCATGATGGCTGTAGGACACAGAAAAGAAGGAGAACCTTTGTCCCCAATGCTGCTCAGCTCCTCAACTCCCAACCATCCCTGTCCCTCTGTTCACCCTGCTAGCCCCCCTTCCCCTCACATCAGACTTGGGTCATACACTGAACACCTCTGTTGCACACACACACACACACACTGATACAGTGACTTTCACATTGACTTTGCTGCTATTTATTCATCCACACCCATATACCTCATATGCTAAATATACACCTATACTGTGTATATACATTGTTTTTATTGCACCAAGATTATCTTCTCATAGGGCTAATTCTTTATCAAAATGTGCAGTTATTTATTTTCACCATAATGTTATTCTCATTATCATAATATTACAGGTTATTGTGTTTGCACCATTGTTTATTGTTTTTGCACTGATGTTGTTTTTTATTCTATGTGCTGTTTAAATTGCCCCCTTGAATGACACACACACACACACACACACACACACACACACAAACAAACACACAAACACACAAACACACAAACACACAAGGTGAAAGCAGAACCAGCCACATGCTGTTGCAGATGCTAAACATTCCCTGCCCATGTGATGTCCAGCTACAACATCTGTTTTCTACCAGAAATACAACTAATTATGAAAAGCCGGACTTCAGCTCTAAGAAATCATACATATAGATTTGGTGTTGCAAAAGAGTGCACGTATTAAACAAAGGGTATACAGGGTTTACTCACTGTGGTTGGCCGACTGCCTTTGATTGGCCCAGGTGCTGACTGCTGGCTGACTGGTTGTTGTGATGACAGCAGGTTGGCCGAGAGCGGAGGGCTCAGGGTTGAGGTCGATGAGGCTTGGACTGTTGGTAGAGGTCTGCTGAGAGGAGGACACAACTTAGCTGCTGCGTGAGTGCACTCCAACAGCTTCAATGACAAAGAACAACGAAGATCTTTCTCACCTGCTGAGTGTTTGTAATTTGTGACTTGTTAAGTCTGTCAAACCTAAAACACAAGCACAACACAATGAGCATGAAATTTGATAGGATCCGCACTGCAAATCTTAAAACAAACACTTTCTAACTGACAAAATTTAAAGCAGCAAAGCTAGACTGCAGCACACCGCTCGTAGCGAATGAAGGCGTTGTTGAGGTCATCGTTGATCACGAGCAGCTCTTCAACAAATCCTTCATCCAGCAGCTGAGGGATGAGCTCCACCACCCGAGTCTGCATGCTCTTACACACCGAGTACAGCTGCTGCTCGGGCAGAGAAGGAGAGAAAGAAAAGAAAATCGCCATTAATCTTTGATACCAAGAAAGGTATTTAATGATCAAATGTCATTTACTTTTTTTTTTTTGGTGCATCCAGTTTTCCTCATGCTGCTACATCTACTTTTACATCAGTCACTGGTTCCCTAAATTCTCCAGCCTTCTTTGACAACAACATGCGACGGACCCTGAGCTTGTACTGAGTGCAGGCAGCATGAGCAAAATAGAAACCAAGGGGAGAAAGAGTAAAAGTCTGTCGGTAAGTTGGTAAAAGTCAGAATAAAACATCCACAAACATCCCTTCAACACTATGATTGTGAGACACAGTAAATGCTATAGACAACTCTGACACACACACACACACACACACACACACACACACACACACACACACACACACACACACACACACACACACACACACACACCTGTAGCAGCTCTGTATCATCCGGCACGCTCTGTCCAGGTACGAGCTCATTCAGCATTTCAGACATCACTGTGAGGTTTCCCTTCACCAGCGCCAGCTCACTTCGCAGCTTCTGTTCCTGGAATCAAAAAAACACAAGAGCTGTTAGGTCCATTTGTATTAATTTGTACTACAGAGGTTACGGTGATACATGACTGTTACTTGAACGCATCATTGGCCAATATCAGATACCAGCCACAGCTGCAGAGAAACAGTCTATTACACCTGTACTTTGCCGGTAAAAGTCATGTCAGGTCAGGACAAGGGTCTATTTTACTTCAGTTTAACTCCTCACATTAAAGCTCCATAGATTAGGTGTATATCAATTAATTGATAAACAGATAATTAACAGGCAATAGTTTTAATGATTGATTAATAGTATTGAGTCTTTTATTTCCTACTACATTCTCTGCTTTCAGCTCCTCAGATCTGTATTTTTGTTGGTGTTCATAGTCTTTGTTGTGTTGTTCAGACAAAATAAGAAATTCAAACATGGACTTTGGGTTTTGATAAATTGTGGTTAACACTTTTCACCATTTTCTGATATTTATTAATCCAGAAAATAACAGGAGAAGATAATCAGTGGGTAGTCAGATCAAGTGGAAATCTTCCAGATAATGAAAGTAATCATTAGTTGCACCACTAGACCTGATTTAAGATGCAGTTAAACTGTCTGTGTTAGTGATATAAATGCTCTTTCAGAGGCTTTTTAAGAGTTTACAGATTTAAAGATGCTGAGTATTGTCACAACATATCACTGCCTAAAGGGGCTTATCTGTGTCTATAAAAACTATTAAAGCC